GGGGGGGCGGCTGGCTCCCCAGCCCCCGGCCGGGGCGGACACGGCGCTGGAGCCGAAGGGGTGGTGCTCCTGGTAGTAGCCCAGGGCGTGGTGCGCGGAGGTCTGCAGGGGGAAGGGCTTGTAGGACATGAAGCCGTTGCCGGAGTAGTCGGCGTCGAAGGAGTTGAAGTCCAGGCGGTTGGCGCCCGCCCCCTGCTGGCCGGGCAGGTACCAGCGGCTGTGCGGGCTGCCGCTCGGGTCCTTGGGCTGCCCAGGGTGAGCGGCGTGCCCCGCGTGGCCCATGCCCACGCCCATGCGGTCCCGGCTGAAGTAGCGGCCCTGGGGCAGGGGGCTCATGTACTGCTCGGGGAGGTAGGGCTGGTGGTAGCAGCCCCCGGGCAGCAGCTGCTGGCTGTCGGTCGGGGAGGGGGTCAGCCGGTCAGAGTCGGCGGAGGCGTAGATCCTGCGGACGACAAGGACAGAAGCACAGGTTCACCTCAGCACAGACTCGGGCCTGTAGGTCACGTCAATTCAAGCACAAAAGAACAGCGGTTAGCAGTGCACGGTGCAAGGGTTCGGTCACAAGCTCCTAACCCATTAGGGGTCCTTCACGAGCTGCACTGTAAAAGGAATAACACTTAGATTAGTACAGTATAATCATCCTCCTAAGGATAAACCAATATAAAAGGCACTGAGCATATTAGGGTTAAAGGCTGATGTGATCATGCACCAAAATTCAGAAGGGCTCCCTTCAAGCTAGGGTACGCTAGAAATCAAAAATCTTTTACTTACGTGTCAAAATTGTCCCGAAACCCTTTAGCAAAAGGGTTGTGGTCTATTTTCAGCTGTGTGATCTGTATACCAAACGACAGGAGACAGCAGACAGAAAATAAGGCAATAAGACAGCAATCATGGCTCATCCCAAGAACTAAAACGCTCTGTAAGAACCACTTTAAATCTCAAGATCTTTCCTGGCTAAAAGAAATAACAGTCTGGGGTTTGTTACAAAATATCTAGGCAGAACCTCCTTTCTTTCAATCTTTTGCATTTACAACAATTTTAATATGATATTCCATTTTATCTATCTTACTTTATGCCTTTTAATTCCTGCAGAACCTATTGCAACAGAGACTGGCTTATGATCATTTTTGTTAATGTTGTGGATAGACCCCAGGTACACAATTCTGCAGCATGAGGTTTTGCTGTCAGCAAGAGCTCTGCAATCCAGTGAATCCAGTTATAGGTTCTCCCCATACAGGCTTTCAGGACAGATTTAAAGATCTTAAAATTGCAAATCCTCAACATCATGTATGTGTGATGTAATGTCCAATCTTCCAGTTGAAGCCAACAATATTAGGACTAAGACCCGACACGAGAATGTACTAAATTTCAGAAGGGCTGGGTTTTTTAAGTTAATGTGTTTTGTTGTCCAAATAAGAGTCTTCGTATCTTCAGTACCAGTCTACTTCATCTGCCCAAAAGCCTGAAGCATTGTATCAGCTTTTCCAACAGCTCACCTAAATCTATCTGGGATTTTGGGGCCACTGAGAGAAACTTAAATCTTCCTTCTCTGATGTTTCCACACACCCATTCATGCAAAGTTTGCATAGCCTTTCCTGGATCCCCCAGGAAAAACCTTATCATGCATTTTTACAGTGTATATTTCTTTTACATAATGCTGTGTTGCCATTTACAGCATTGTGGATATTAAAAGCAAGAATCATGGGCTTGATTAAACTAAAGCATACAAGACGAGCACTAAACAGCAGCAGATATAGCTAACGCTGGTATATTCCTAATGGCTAATTTCTACTGCTCCTGCCTCACTTCACTGAGCACATTGTAACAAAGCAATAATCATGTTGTCTTTTGTGAAAGACAGTGCAACCAGGTGGATGCTGCACATTGGTGGTGGTGGAGGGGAGTCCCCATTACCTGTAAAGCGCTTTGAGTGGACTGTCCAGAAAAGCGCTATATAAGTGTAAGCAATTATTATTATTATTATTATTATTATTATTATTATTATTATTATTATTAACCCATGTCAAGATCAATATTTTTTACCAGCTTAATATGTATTTCCACACTGGTTACAGCAACCACAAGGCCAATGGAGCAAGTGGACCTTATTTAAGACACTGCACGTCAGCCCTTTCCTCAGCAGACGTCTAATTCAGGTGAAGATGCCCAAGACTTGAGTTTTACTCCCACGCCAGTCAGTTGGCAAGGTGTCGCTGCCACTCCGCCCGCCCGAGTGTGACTCACGTCAGCGTTCTGGTAGGCGGTGACGGCGATGAACTGCGTCTCCTGGAAGACGAAGGTCTGCGATTTGTTATCCGCGAAGGGGTCCTCTGTGCCGTCCTCCCTGACCTCCACCACGTGCAGGCGGGGCTGGTACTTGTGCAGGGACTGCAGCACGATCATCTGCTGGGGAGAACCGCACAGCGCTCACTCCTTAAGGCACGTCTCCCTTCCAGGGATCTGCTGCCTAGGCGCTCTGCTGCTTCAGGGTGCAGGCTCCAGCCCCAGCTCTGCTGCTGACTCACTGTGCGTCACCCTGCTCTCAAGTCACTTTAAACCAAAACCAATATCCAGCCCCTAAAGGACGAGCATGTGGCTCTGCAGAAAAGCGCCTGCCGACTGTGACTGAGGGCTGACTCTGCACTGTGCAGGTTAACATGGACGAGCAGTTAGATTCTGCAAGTGTAACTATCAGTTTTTGTGTGAGGCGGTGAGCTCGACTGTGTATAGGTGCATCAATGTGGGTGGATTTGTGTCTCTTCTGGGGCATGTGGTCTGGAATTGCTGTCAATGTGGGTGAAAAGTTTCACATAACCTCCCCACAGAGACAGTAACTCCTCAAAAAGTGACAAAGTGGGGATTTCCTCAGTTTGATAAGGACTTTTTTTCCTACAGGCTAAACCAATATATTTAAAAAAATGGCAAATGTGCTTTTAACTGTCTTTTTTTCCAATTTCAGAGGAATTAGGAATCAATTAAAATATAAAAAGTCAGTCTCTACAATGGCAGGAACACAGCTTACGTAGCTCTCGGTGTCAGTGTGCCACTGTGTCTCAGAGCCTCTCAGTGTGCCACTGTGTCTCAAAGCCTCTCTGTGGGTCAGTGTGCCACTGTGTCTCAGAGCCTCAGTGTGCCACTGTGACTCAGAGCCTCAGTGTGCCACTGTGACTCAGAGCCTCTCAGTGTGTCAGTGTGCCACTGTATCTCAGAGCCTCTCAGTGTGCCACTGTGTCTCGGAGCCTCTCTGTGGGTCAGTGTGCCACTGTGTCTCAGAGCCTCTCTGTGGGTCAGTGTGCCACTGTGTCTCAGAGCCTCTCTGTGGGTCAGTGTGCCACTGTGTCTCAGAGCCTCTCTGTGGGTCAGTGTGCCACTGTGTCTCAGAGCCTCTCTGTGGGTCAGTGTGCCACTGTGACTCAGAGCCTCTCAGTGTGTCAGTGTGCCACTGTGACTCAGAGCCTCTCAGTGTGCCACTGTGACTCAGAGCCTCTCAGTGTGCCACTGTGACTCCGAGCCTCTCAGTGTGCCACTGTGACTCCGAGCCTCTCAGTGTGTCGGTGTGCCACTGTCTCTCAGAGCCTCTCAGTGTGTCAGTGTGCCACTGTCTCTCAGAGCCTCTCAGTGCCTCTCAGTGTGTCACTGGGTCGCAGTTACCTGTGCCACATTGTTGGAGCTGCCCTTGTTGTTTGTGAGCTTCAGTTTCCCAAAGGAGATTTCCTGCCTCATCCAGTGAGCCCCTGAGTTGGGCGAATCAGGGTGCATATACATCCTGTTACCTGGCAGACAGTGAAGAAAGGGAGGTGCCCTCAGTTTTACACGTGACAGGTAAAAACATTCAGTATCACAACCCCACCCCCATTCGCACTCTGAAAACCCAGGAAACACCCCCGGTGAGGGCTCCCTATCGGGATCTGTGACGTAAATGAGATTTTCGGTTGCAGACACAAGCACTGCTCAAGCTTTACTGGTCAATGATAGCTCTCGGAAGCTTCTGTAACAAGAAACAGGTAATTAAGATGCTGCAATTGCATTAAACAAAAACAAACTCTGCAGACACGATGAGAACTGAGGCCTTGGCATCTTGCTCTCCCTGCTGCTCCTCCACAATCCCACTGATGCCCACAAGCAAGAGCCTTTCTCCGGGGCCCGAGGCTCACCTGGCATGTTGCCCTCGGCCTTTCCGCACTGGACCCACTTGCCCCCCTGGTACCTCCAGTGGTGCTGGTCGGCCAGGATGACGTCCACGTAGACGTTGTAGTGGGCCGAGGGGTCCAGCCCGCTCAGGTTGAAGCTGAGGAAAGGGAACATCCTCCTGCGAGGGGAGAGCAGACGTTAATGAATACAGACAGGCCCCAAAAAAACTCTCAGAAGCCGCGATGCTCCTAGAGGGAAGTGGTTAACGGGACTGAGTGCTGGGCGGGACCTGAATGATTAATAAGAGTGTTTAATAAAAGATGCTGGCAGGGAGAAAGGGGGCACCACTCCTTCTATACTCGCTGAACTGATCCCGATAACGGCGCGGCCGACACAGAGAAGAGGTAACGGAAAGGTCGGCGAATCCCCAGGCGCCGAGCCGGTGGTGCTATCAAACACGCGGGGGGGGAAGACACTCACACACTCTGCCAGGGCCCAGGCTGAGTGTGCTGCGCAGCAGGAGCAGAGCTGCAGCTCCAGCACAGCCTGTGGAAACCACCACCCCTCGAAGTCAATGAGAGCCTTGGACTGACAACCTGCTGCCTCTGTCTTGATCGGTCACCGTTATCCACCTGTCTGTCTGCAAAGGTCTCAACACAGAGCTCGCAGGGCAGTGCTGCAGCTTCTTGCCACAGCTCAAATATTCACATCACTTAACACTGTGACATTAGAACAGCTCAGACTGAGACGCCCAGGATCACTCCTCAGCGCCTTACCAAAGCAACACTTTCATTCACACACTTGAAAGTTCATAATTAACACTCAAAAACCCTATTTATAGTCATAACGTGAACGCCATGTTTATATTCAGTGTGGGATTAATGTCTGCGGTGCTGCATCAACAGTCTGCATTTAAACAGTGCCAAGGGGAGAACTGTAAGCAGGTGCCCGTGCTGCTCAACAAACACTCATATTTTCCCCTCAATTAACCTTTTACTGTAGGTTATACCTACAATCAGCAAACACTAAACTGGTCTGTGCTTCAATAAATCAGAAACTTTCAAAAGTGGCAAAACATTAGAGAACCTGGCTGTACTAATGTGAGCTGTCTTGACTTGGATATATTACAGCTGTGGCTCAATACAAAGCATTAAACAAAGAAGTCACAAAAAGTACCGTATCGGCTATACAGTAGGTCAGGCTTCCACAGCAATGCATCTGTATCACAAGGGTAAAGGCTGGGGGGGAAACGGGGAGATTCTGTTAATTCTGCAGACTAATTCTTTTTAAGAGGCTAGGGAGCTGTGCCAATACTCTCTAGTTACCACTATTGAGAAGGTCATTGTCTGATGAACGCACAGGCACTGCAGTTAGAGCTGGACTTCTTAGAAAGGACACAAAGTGACATCACTATACACCGCAAACCGCAGCCTGTATAGCTCTACACATGGCACTGCTGTAACCCCATCACAGCTTTGCAAGATCACCCCCATGGTATTTCTGCAGTTCTCCCACAATGCATCCTGACTTTGTCCTGCTTTTCCAGTCACACCATGCTTTATGAGCGCTCTCTAACCTTTGCCATGTTTCCACACCACTGTCCTCTTTCACAGTGACGGCCAGGCCAGACTTTTCAAAAGGGTCGAACCCTGCGGACAAGGACTCCGAGGTGTAGGGGGCACGCTTTTGTTCTGCACAAGCCACCCGGCCACTTGCCCAGAGGCTGCTGCAGGTTTATATAAACCGCCGTAGCATTCTCCTGAACCCTCAGACCAGCTCCTCTCAGGTGGAGCTTGCCGTCGCCACGGCAGCGGGTTACTGCAAGAGCCGTGTGTGTGCGCGCGTGCCTTTTCCTGTTCGGTGTGTGTCATTGATGTGGTATTCTTTTTCCTCAGCGGGGAGCGCAGGCTCTTGAGAGCGAGGTGAAGACAATTCTGCAACCCGGAGTGCTCCAGCACGTGCACGAGTTCCTCTTGGTAAACCTTTTCTTCAGCGTGCCTCCTTCATGGGCTCACCCTGACTACACTGCAGTGCATTAGCTCTCCACGTCTGTGTTGCCTAACCATGCTTCCCAGAAACACATTTGTGAATTAAAGGCTGATCTTCTTTTCAGATAAGCGATCAACTGTTTCTGGTAAACCTGATGTACGATAAAACACATTCAATAATGATACCAGATCAACTACAGATACTAGAAAACCCCAAATATACTTTCAGCTCAAGCATGCGACGCACACAGTAAACAATACTTCCTTCCTTAATATTGTCCCAGACGGAACATTTGCTTTGCTTATAAGTAAAATAACAATATACACATTATAATCAACCAATAACAAACCTACATGCATCAGATGGATGTAGATGAACAAGTCTGAGGCTTTAAATAATCCTCACAATTTAGAAAGAAGATGGGTCATCCGTGAGTGAGATACATGACAAAAAAAAAAACCTGACAGTCCTCCAAATTAAGCAGGTGAAAAATGAAGAAAAGGTAACCTAGTTCTACTGCACTTTAAAAATAGGAAGTGTAAATCAACGTCTTGATGGAAGGAGCTAAAACTACAAGGGTGTTTGTGATTATACTGTCCTTCCACACCACTCGCCTGTTGTCGATGTCTGCCAGCTGTAGCTGTTGTGCGCAGATAACCTGAATATTCACCATAAAAACAGACGGAGCAGGATAGTCAGCACAGTTACCACACCAGGTGACCACAGCGAATGTTCGAACAGATTCAATAAAAGTTCTATATAGTTAGTCATCAATGTACTAAAACCAATAAAAGAGGGTGCTGGCCCGTCTTACCCACGGCTGTGTTTCAGTCAAAGGTTAGCTTGTAATCAGCTCGAGTGCCAAGACATTTGTAATAGGGGATTAACATCTTGTCACCAGAGTTTATTACACTGCTGTGATACTCTAAATATTTTCAGGAGAAAGTGGGAAGTTGAGGACCCAAATGAGTGCAGAGCTGCAAACTTTAAGCCTTGCCCAAAGCACAGAGCACGGCAGGGGGCACTGATCACTGTTAAGGAGCACGAGCGCCCAAGACTCAGCACTGTAAAACAGAGTGTCTATGTGCTGAAAAGTTGCCACAAAAGTAATGGAAAAATGAGTTTCTTCGTTTTCTCAATATTCCAACAAGAGGCTTTGAAGCTCTGGATAAGAATCTAGAACAAATCCAGTTCCAGATGTGGAGGCAAGTGTTTCCAGTAAAGTCCACAGCTGGAAATGTGGAGTGTAATAATAAAAGTGCACAGACACAGAGGGTCACAGAGATTCAACCCATTTTAAGTCTTGCAAGCGGCACCCTCGTGTCCATACTACCACAGCAGGAAAACAATTTTTATACGTAGGTGTTTGTGATTAAGAATGGAAATAATATGAATCAATGTGGAATGTTTCGTGAGTACATCCTGACTTTGAACGCTTCGTTAAAAAGGTTCACGCCAAAGCAAATGGTATTTAGTATTCGTAACCCTGGAATAGCAGGAAAATATTAACCTTTTCATGTGAATCTAAACTGACGCTGCAGAATAAGGTTGACAAGCGTGTATCCAGGACTACGCAGCTGAACCTGCAGCTGCTGAGGTCTGGTGCAGCCCTGCAGAGTAACAGAGGGTCTGAGCTCTCAGTGCACAGGAAGGACTCCGAGAACAAACAGCCCCACGCCACCCATCACACTGAGGGCGAGGAGAGAGCGGCTCAGCCCTGCACTGACTCACTCCGCCTGCCTGGGCACAGCGCACAGACAGTGGGTGGCCTTGGTATTTTATTTTCCCCTTAGCCAACAAACTAACCAGTGGCTTTCTGTTAAATCAGCCCATTTATTAGAAGTCTTATAAAACAGAAAAGGTCTAATTACTGTAGAAATAAATAATCTAGGTTATTTGTTCTGTGTGTGTGGGTCAGGCCGGGAGGTACCCTGACGAACTGAATTACTCAGAAGACAAGCTTCAATCAACACCACGTCCGGCCTGCACCCAAGAAGGGGAAGAAGCTGCACCTAGGCAGTTTAATCCCACTTAAGAATCCCAGAGCGCTTCCTCGGCCAAAGTGGGAATCATTCGGAAGGAAGATATGGTAAAGCCCCCCCACCTCGTGCCCCCTGCGCCCCCCGGCCCTTGGTACCCCAGGGCTGGCATAACCGAACAAGTAGGGGAGCACATGTCCAGTGAGTTGCAGCCTCAGTCCCGCAGGGTGGGTGGGCTGTCCGCCGCCAGCTGCCCTTACACACCGCTCCTCCCTCGGGGAGGGGCACGGACCCCGCGCGCAGGAGCAGAGGGTCCCGGCTCCACGCTTCTGCTTTTCACTCCTTGCGTGTGCAGCAGACTGGAGACCGACAGGCTGCACGCTTGACAAGGAGCAGCGCGTCGAGAGAAAAAAATAAACCCAAAACTTCTCTTTTTTTTAGCAGCCCAGGGTGGCATCTGGCTATTATTGCAGTTGGCTCACTTGAAAGGTGCCGTGCGGGTGTGTGGGCTGAAACGATTCACATACAGCAAGGGCGGCGTGCGCATAACTTAACAGGTGCAACATCTGCATTTTACTGGGGGCTTGAAAGGGGAAAAAAATGATTTTGTGCACCTCAGTGACAGTGTGATGTCTTGTAAAGCATTCTAATCATTTACATTGATACAAAAGCATCAGCACATTTGCCCAAATTTATACTATGTGGCCTGCAAAGCAAAAGCCTAGACATCTTAGACACAATCATGAGTCATGATAGGTGTGCATACGATGAGCATCGAAAACTTACTCAAAGCCTCCGAATGCTTTCTACCGAGATAAAAACATGGCCTGTATTTAATACAGCTCAGTCCGGAAGGGAAAAAGCCCAGTTCATCATTTTAGCATCTTTAATTGACACATTGATCAGAGTCTTCAAAAACGTGATCACAGCAGGTGAACTATTCATGAGCAGCCAATATAAACGGAAGCAGCAGCGGATCCAGCACATTTGCCAATCAAATCTCGTTGCTATCATACAGTATTCTGCGGTACGATCAGTTGCCTTTTAGTTTTATGCATGTGTAGAGGTTAATAATAACTTTTACTCATAAAGCGGCTTTCCAAACCCAAGGACGCTGTACGAGAAGAACAAGCCACCTTAAAAGGATGGCAAGGGATAACTGCTATTAAACCTAAGTCTAAAATTTCAACAGGACACCACAGAATTGAGT